TCCACGAGGCGAGATGGCCCTCTTCTGAAGGCTGAGGCTGGAACTCCTGCAGCCTGATACCCGGGGGCCCCTGTGAGTCCCGGCCGCCCCGGGAGACGGGGTAAACCCGCAGGCTCCAGACCACGGCCCCAGGATTTCTGACTCGGGCGGACGAGAGGCCTGCAGCTGTTGTAACAAGCTCTCCTGAAGGCCTGGAGGCCAGAGTCTGAATATCAGGGTTCCCCCGGCACCCCAGGCTCCAGGGGGCTCCTTCCTGCTTCTCCCAGCTCCTGGGGGGTCCGGGAGTCCTCAGCGTGTGGCTGCATTGCCCCAATTTCTGCCTCTGTCTTCACGTGGCCTCTCCTCTGTATCTGTGAATTCTCTTCCCTCTCTCACTTGTCACTGGATGGGGGGGTCCGCCCGGATAATCCAAGATGACATCATCTTGAGACCCTCAGTTATACCTGCAAAGGCCCTTTCTCTGAACAAGGTCACGGTCACAGTGCTGGGTGGTTGTGTCTTTAGGGGCTACCATCCAACCCACTGTACTAGGTCTGGGAGGGGACCCAGGGGACTGCTGGGCTCAGCAAGGGTCCCCCAGTTCCTGGACCACCATGGTCATCCTGCCCCACTGCTTTGCAGATAGGGAAACTGAGGCCCAGAGGAGGGAGGACCCCCCCTTTCTCTGCCCCGCCCCCACGACCTCTGCGGTGCCAGCCTGCACTCCCCTGGGGCCCTGTGCAGCAGACGCCTGTGCTGTGCTCAGCAAAACTGGGCACCAGGCCCCGCCCAGCTCTCCAGGCCGATCCACCTCCGCGGTGTTCAAACTTCTGCTTGGGCAGCAAACACCAGTGCACACCCACATCTAACATGTCTCCAAGTGAGAGGCGCGACTGTGGGAAAACTGGTGTCCTCTGTCTCGCTCAGAGATGCACAGCAAGGTCCACCGGTGACTCGGGGTCTGCAGGCCCACCCACGGCTGCCACGGTGCTCAGCTGCATTCCTGGTGGACCCTGGGTGCACCCGGTCTGGCTGGGCGATGCCTTCCTCCACAGGCCCCTGCTCCTGCGGGTGGACGCTGTTCCTCCTCCTGGATATTTACCTGTCCCTGAAGGCTTACCTTAATCCCTGCCAAATCCCCACGCACTGTGGCAGGAAAACGGCAAAGCCAGGCAGAGGCAAAGCGAAAAGCAGCCAGATCACAGCTGCTGCCTCCACAGAGCCCAGGGCAGCTCACCCTTCGGTCTCAGGACCCACAGAGACACGGCAGCTGGAGTGGATCCGGGGCTGGGCCCAGCAGGCAGAGCTCCAGGAAGGAGGCGGGAAGACAGAACACAGGAGGGCGGGGCGGGGCCGAGGGCTGAAGGACCTGGGTCCCTCAGTCACCCTGGGGCCTCAGTTTCCCCCACGGGGAAGCCAGGTGCCAGCATGGCCGCCGAGGGGCCTTGGGGATTGAGCAGAGAACGCAGCACCACTGGGCCCCCACAGAGCACGTCCCCGGTTCCTGGAGTCGGGCGGGACCCGCATCACACAGGCGAGCAGAGGCCCGAGGAGCCCCACCGCCTGGGTCCCCAAACCTCTGCAGGCGGGATCACACTAAGGTGGGAGACCATGGATCCTGGGCTGTCCGGTGGGCCGGCGTCACCATGGGGCCCTTACACGTGAGCAGAAGGGAGAGTCAGGGAAGGAGACGAGAGAGCCTGGGACAGAGGCAGGGGGCCGGGTCTGCGGATGGAGGGAGGGGCCGCCAGCCAAGGAACACAGGTGTCTCTGGAAGCAGGCACCGGAAGGAAACGGCTTCTCCCGGAGCCGCCGGGAGGCATGGCCCTGATGATGCCTTGATTTTCGCCCAAGGGGACCCTGTCCCACGTAACACGTCCACAGCAGCAAGGACATACTTGGTGTCAATGAAGCCACTACACTACGTCTGTGGTCATTTGCACTGACTCAGGAGCAATCATGAGCCATAGTCGGGCGACTTCCTCCCTGGGGAAGGGGGCGTGGATATTCATTCACAGGGACCTCACAGGGGGCCTGGTGGGTGCCTTGCCCCGCGCGCCCCCCCCCCGACTTGGAATGCGCTTCAGCATTCAGCGAAGGAGCACAGTAGCATGGGGGAAGTCCTCAAAAACGCCAGCTTGACCCTGATGGAGGATGAAGGGAAACAATCTTTGGTGCCACATGCTGGTCCGAGATGAGTAACTTAGGTTTGTTCTTTTTTTTGTTTAAAGGCAGGTGGGGGAGGGAGCCAGCCTGAGACAGTACCGCAGGCCATCAGAAGAGGGCAGCCTAGAGCCCAGGCCAAAAGTCACCAAAATTCTGAGCCTTTTGACAAAAGCAAAGGATTTTACAGCCCAGCTTCCAACACACCAGGGTCCCCCCACCCCACCCCTTGGAGGATTACAAGCACAAGCAAGTGCCACGAGGTTTTACAAGAACACACACAGGAGAAGTTTCTCACCCTTGACAAAGAAAGCCACTCAGCTTGTGGCATTTTCTAGAGTGGAATCCACCGGAAGTCAAAATCCCCCCTTTGAAAAGCCAGAAGAGGCTCATTCTTTGAAAAGACAAATGCTCACTCACTCTCAGGTTGTGACTGGTTCCAGTATGTATTTTAAAAAAAGAAAGAGAGAGAGAGAGAGAGAGAGAGAGAGAGAGAGAGAGACCTAGAAACACAGATCAGAGGTCCCTGGACGCAAACACCACAGACCCCAAACCAGGCGGCGAGGACCACCTGCACAGAGGGCGATCTCATGCCCATCCCCCTCTGCCCCCCGAAACGCACGGGGCCCTGGCCCGTGGTGGCCTCCTTCACAGCAGAGCCCTCAGCCTGTCTCACGATCCCCAACCAGGGGTCTTGCTCACGTCCCCAGCACTTGAAGACACAGTGTGAGAAATTTATGACGACGGTCCTGGGCCTGTACCCGGCACAGCTCCCATGTGCTCCCGGCTTCCAGAACCACCTGGGCTGCTTGGTAGGACCTCTCCCTGTAGTTTGCCGGGCGCAGGCAGAGTCTGACAAGGCTGCTCCGGGACTGTCTGTCTGTCACACCCATGGAACTGAGAACTGCCATCTGCACCGAGGAGTCTGGCTCTTCTAACCCCAGGGCGGTGCTGCAAACACAAGGTGGCCCCTGAGTCTGGAGCCGCTTCAGACCGGCCCAAGCGTGGCGGTGACGGCCGTGCGGTCCCTCCCGACGATCCCCCGGGTCCCTCTCTGTGGCTCATGTCCAGGCTCAGAAACCGCCAGCCAGTGTGTCTGAAGGCTGATCGCTGCTGAATTCACAATGGTGGGGGGGTGGGGCCCTCTGCACATGGGAGGGGGCCTGTCTGTGAGCGAGTTCATTGCTCTCTAACTGTCCTCACCCTCACTGTGTGGGAGGCAGGTGATCGGGGAGCCTGAGGTCCCACAAAGGCAGAAACAGAGGACGGGAGCCCCGTGATCGTCAGCTTCCAACCCCGCCAATGGGAGCAATGCTGCCTCCCTGGGAAGGTTTCCGTGGGGGTGACGGGAGATGCGTGGGCCGGCGCGCAGTCTGGCCGCGACTCAGTGTTACTGCGTTATAATCACTCACAGGGTCACACCCCCTCACCGGACGACGCCTAGTCCTGCAATGCACAAGTCTTCCTTTTTCTTTTTAAAAACTTATTTATTACACTTGGACCTTTAAGAAATGTATGCCGTGGGGTGTTTGGTAAAAATCTAGTCTAGTTTTTGGGGAAGCAAACATTTCACAAACCACGTTGCTTCATCTCTAAGACTTCACTAAGTTTGTCAGAAGGGTAGGCTCGGGTCTGGAGGATCCCGAGCCTTGAGGTTTTGAAAGTTTTGATGATAGTAAAACAGTTCCAAGTGGAGGAACTTCCTTCCAGACTGTTGTTCTTGTAGAACGGGACGATCGTTCTGAAGTTACACACACCCTCGCCAGGATGTTCAGTTCCTTAAGCTTAGCCATCTACACCGTCTTCTGAAAACTTGATAAAAAGGTAAATTCTCCCCCCTGCGCCACCAGGATGAATTTACCAGAACACACCCGGTATATAACAGAAAGCAGGACAGTGTATGTTTTCACTCCAGTGACCGGTTTGGAAGCGGGTAACCACTCTGTTGACACCGCTTCTCCAGTGACGCGACCCAGCTGTCACTGTGGGTCTGAGCCACACCATGCCCTAACTCAGTTATGTGACCTGGATCACAGATACGAAAGGTGAGTGGACAAACACACACTCCTGCATGAGGGTCGCGTTCCCGGGAAGCTGCTCTCTGTGGAAGCGAAGAGGGAGGGGCTTCAGGAAGCTGATGGCGGGCGCTGAGAAGGTTTAGAGCCGCGTTGGGTAAGCGCCCCCCGGGCCACAGGAGGGCATTTCAGAGTAGGTTCTGCAGCAGCAAAGGACAGTTCTCAAGAAGAAGTGGGCATTCTCCTAATTAACTTGAATTCCGCGCTTTCAGCAGCCGAGGGCTGGATGCACGGTCCGAGGTCGAGAACTATCCCCACGCCCACTTACGAAAGGTGATGCCCCCTTTCTGCTCAGGACGCTGTGGGGTCCCAACGCCTTCAGAGGCGTTGTGGGTGAGCAGAATATTAGCACGCAAACCCCCTAACACCATTAAAACTCAGAAAGCATTTCTGTATTTAAGAAAGTACTGAGAACACGTAAAACAAGGCAACACAGGTTCTTTTTTCTCGTCTTCCTGTGTGGGACCTGTTGGGGGCTCCTCCACGGCCGGTGGTCACTCTCCAGGCCGCGTGACTGTCCCTGCCCACTCCTCTGCCCCGCTGTCCACCCCTCCTGTCCACGTCCTTTGTCCTCAGGTGTGGACACGCCCCCTTCACCATTCCGCTGACTTTCTGCGGCTCCCGCAAGGTGTGCCGCCCCCGTCTCCGAGGGCGTGCTGTCCCTCCTTTCTCTCCTTGGGTCTCACTGGGGGCTTGTCCTTCCTCAGGAGCCACCGGCTCTGGCTGTGCCCAGCTTGCCCTGCCCCCCCTCCGCTCTTTCCTCCTGTGTGATCCCCGCGGTGATTATTCCTGCACCTGCTTCTGTCTCCAGCCCCCCAGCCTTTCAGGTTCACTGCCAAAGGAACCTGCGCTGTCCAGGAACGTCCTCTTTTCTGGGTGTCGCTTCCCTGTCCGAAGACGTTTGGCGTCTAGTTTTCGCTGGTGACCCACGAGGGGCTGGACCTGTCGTCTGAGGACCCGCCTTCCAGCTGTGGTGACCGCAGACCGAATGCCAGGCCGCGCGCTCTCACCAAGGAGTTCACCGACGAGGCTCCTCCGCAGCCGGGCGGCGGTCTGTTTCCTGCAAAGCCACCCCCGTAATCGGCTGCACCTCGGGCGGGCTGACTGCTTCCGGAGGCTCGCCTTTCTCCCCGAGAGACGGTCTCCGTGGACTTTCTTCCTCCGCAGCAGCGTCTGCACGACCCTTTTGCTCGGGGTAGGCGAGGCGCGGGGGGCGGGGCTCGGCAGGCCTTCGGAGACTCTGCCCACTCTGCCTTTTCTGCTTCGTAGTCCTTTAGATGTTCTTGTTTTTCCCCATCGGTGAGATCGCGCCACCTGCCGCTGGTCAGCTTGCCAGTCTCCCAGAACTGTGGGGGCCTGGAAGCCTTTACTCGGTCCCCGACCTCTCTGCTGGGCCTCATGCAGGGTGTCAGCGGCTGACCTGGTGGCTCTGTGGGTTTTGGAATCCCAATACCCGAGGGCGCCGGTGCCTGGGAACCTTCCGGAATGATCTAAATAGTAAACCAGAAAGACAGGCTGCTGCCCGCATGAACCTTGGGGCTTATGTAAGACGGATGCTGAACCAGATAACGTAAGTCACCCGATCAGGAGGCAGAGTGTGGTGTGACGGTCATGAGAGGGTCCCGCCCTGGCTGGGGGGTGGGACAGGGAAGGCTTCTCGGGGGAAGTCTCACGACCTGGAGTCGTCGGAGACAGACCCCGCCTCCCCGCAGTGTGAGGACTCGCCGAGCCCGCTCTCCTCCAGCAAAGCCCAGGCCCCACCCTCTCCGGTGACCAGCGGGGAAGATTTCTGCTCACCTGTCACCCTTTTCCGCAGGAGCCTGGGGAGGTAGGACACACGCCGCCTGCGTTCCCAGGACGCCCCCTGGCACGCCCCATCCCTTCACGGTGTGGCCGTGAAGCTGGTCTGGGTTTTCCCAGAACTCTGCCCTCTGGAGAGAGTGCGACTCCGGCCGCCAGCTCAGCTGCAGCCTCTGCTGCGCTGACGGTTAATTATTAACAGGGCGGGGAACCGGACACCGGCCCACTGCAGCCCCACCATGCAGCCTAGAGAGCCTGCTGTTTTGGCCTCGGGAAAACGGCTTAGCCACCCTGTTTCAGACACTGCCGTGCCCCAGTGACGGCGGCCATCAGTGGGTCACCACGCAAACGAAGCCAGCCCATAAGCGTACAGGTGACTATGTTCAAAGGTGCATCAGGAAAAGCAGAGACTCGGAGGGGCTGTGGGGACGCTGAGAACCAGTGACACCGACGCCCTGCGTTGCCATACGGGGGTGGAACCGCTGTTTGAAAGGTTCACGATAGATACCATAGGATTTGCCGCCCTATGGGGAAAACTATTGTAAGCCCGATTTGCATGAAATTTGGAGAATGCAAATGCTTTTCATTAAGACATAAAACAAAATGCCACGACATTTCTCCCCTCCATTCATCATAAACACGTTAATTACGGAGCAACGAGCCGCCCTCTGGAATGTGGGCGTCTCTGGGGCTGCCGGGAGGCTGACCAGGCCAAGGGGGGCCCACGGAGCGGCCGTTCCGCGGGTGGGGGGGACCAATCCTCAAACGTGGCTCGGAGACGCTCCGCTTGCTGTCGAAGGCCCGGCCCTCCCCACTGGAGAAACGCAGGTATAAGTAGTCACCGCCCCTCCGATCGGTTCCTGCCGCGGTTCCAAAATTATCCTGCCTCGTAATCATTTCTGGCCACACACACATCTCTACTGAGATCTGGTAGTTTGCAAAGTTTTCTACATAAATAGAGAAATTTTTATCTGCCCTGGTCAGAGTGCAGGTCAGCTTTCAGCTCCGTCCCTGAGACATGACTTCTGAGATGGCAACGCCTCTTTGTCCCTGGGGGAGTCACTGGGGGGCTCTTCACCGTAAGAGCCACAGGAAGAGAACAGGGAGGGGCTGTCCCATGATGTGCTGGGGAAGCAGCGGGACTCCAGCCCCCCGGGGAGGAGCTGCAGGTTCCCGATGCCCGGGCCCCACTCTGCAATTCTCTTCTCAACCAGGGCTGGGCTGGGCCTCATCTCAGGTATAAGCAGGTGCTTAGAAAATGAGTCTTACGTCCACAAATCCCAGAAGCCGGTCCAAGTCCACCTATAACGACAGGCTCTTCGACACCCATTGGGTGACAGCCATCGGGACACGGGACAGGCCGACAGGCAGCCAGCGATCAAAGCTTCCGCACCCTGCTGGTTTAGAGTTTGAGGAGACCCTGGCAATCTCTCTTTTTATTGCAAAAAGGGCAAGACTCTGCCGCCCGCTCCTGCAGCGGGCGGCACCTGCCGTCACTGAAAGAGGGGCGGTCTTTCTGGAATTCCGTGGTCACACAGACGCTCTACCATCTTTTCCTGTTTACGGCGGCACCTCCACACGTTTCCGGTTCTAACACGCCGAGCATGGAGGGGCGTCCAGGCCTTCCCCGCAGGCGCCCAGGGAAGGAGCCGGAACCCGGTCCTGCCGGATGCTTGCCTCGCGAATGATAAAGCCACGCGGCATTGGGGCGATCACACTCCGATCACACTCCGACCACACGCCCACCCCCTCCAGGCCAGAGACGTGCCCTTCCTGGTGTGTGTTGTCTGTCTGTCTGTCCATCTGGTCATCAGTGCAGGAGTCCACAGCACCGCCCCCTGGCTTCAGCAGTCGACTCAGATGACAAGAAATACGAGTTGGATTCAGTACAAAATAAAAATCCTGGTCCAGGGAATAGGAACCAGGGAGTCGGGGGGGGGGGGAATCTGAAGACTCACCTGCTTAGGCAGGTAGACCAGTCACCTGTCAGTGCCGGTGGGTGTGTGTGTGTGTGTGTGTGTGTGTGTGTGGAAACCCTGCGCCCCCTGCAGCACAGACCTGGGAGACCAGCAGCGGCCTGAGAAACAGTTAGTCCTGAGCAGTGACTGGTGACACTTTGTCTCCAGTTTGCTCCCTCCATCCTTTTGAAATCAGCTAATTTCCCTTTCTGGGAAGTCGATGCAGGGAGGAACATGCGCAGCCCAGGGGAGGAAGAGCCCAGTCACCTCCCCTCTCCTGCAAACATGGAGTTTAATCCGTTTGTCCTGCAAGGCACATAGATCTGTCTGCACAGTAACCCACCGTCGGTGGGAGTCCCGGCGTCGCCTGACTGCCCCCCTCCCGGCGTGGACGGAGCTGCTCCCTGGCGGCTCCCTCCTTCCCCGGGGGTTTCATGTTGCCGGCGGGACGGTAGGGGAGACCAGTGCCATGCACTCGAACAGCACGTCCGTGGGCTCGTTTCCCCCAGTTCCCCAACATCGTCTGCTTCACCGTGCCTTTCGGAGCGAGGGTAATTTAAGAACCCGGAATTTCATACGTAAAAACACTCATTTGGAGCCTCTCCCCCAGGGCATCGCTCTGGCGACGACTGGACTCCAGTGAGTGGCCCAGAGAACGGTCTGCCTCCTGCAGGGCAACGCCGCGTTGTCATTCGCCTGTGACACCACGGCCTGGCCGCACCTCGCTGACCTCGGGCACAGAGCGGGGCTCCGGTGGGCCCCCGCCTTGCCCTTCCCCCCCAAAACGCTCCCCAATCCCGGGCAAGGCGAGGGACTCCTCCCTGTGGGTGCCCACCCTACCTTTGAGCAGCTTCTCTCCTTCTAGAATATTCTGGGAGATTAGTGCAGTGTAATCTTCTTCAGAGAATCCAGTCTTGCAGGTCTCTCTGGCCGTAAGATCCCCACCATGGGCCTGAGATGGGAAAGAGAGAGGTTAGAACAAATGTCAAGTTCACCGGAATCTGATCCCACGGGCCACCAGGGGCCTGCTGTGCACACGTCTCAGCTACGACAGGCCCGGACACACCCCAGAGTCCACCAGACTTAGAGCCGAGTGGGCCGGGGCACGGGCGGGGTTGGAGAGAGGCCAGCGCCTGTCTGGGCAGAACCGGCACTGGGAGGGATGGAAGCGTGAGGCTGCCCAGGAGGCGGCGGGCGGGCTGGCCGGGGAGCCAGGAGTCAGCCAACAGAGAGGAGGGCAGGCCGGGGAGCGCGTGTGCAGCCACTTCACCCCTCCCGCAGTAATCCCCGCCCCTCACTTGGGTGAAGGGGGCCCGCAGGCTCGTCCCCGCCCTGCAGCTCACCGGGGAGGGGAGTGGCCTGGGAACAGGAGGGCGGTTCTCTAGGGCTCGGCTGAGGCTGGGGTCGGGAGGTGTGTGCGCGGGTCTCTCCCTTCAGCGCTCTCCGCCCTGCCCCTACCTCCTCAGCTGCTGATCCACCTTTCCGAACCGCTTCTCTACCAGGGGAGAGAGCTCCCCTAACTGACAGGAAAGGGTGGGTGTCCTGTCCTCTTCCCAGCGCCCTGGCTCTCCCGCCCAGTGGGAGGTGGTCTGGACTCCCGCGCAGGCAGGCACACAGCCCTGGCAGGAAGGCCCCTCCAAGGCGGGGGTGTGGGAGTTACGGGCCTACCGCGGGCTGGGGAAGGGGAGAGGAACAGCCGGCCTGGCCAGAGCAGGGACGAAGCCTGCACCCCACCGCCGCGCGTTCCCGGCCGCCCTGCAGGACGCGCCTCCCGCGCCGCAGCCCCCTCCGCCGGCCCCCTGAGATCCGCCTCGAGCCCCCGAGGCTGCCCTGGCCCCAGCTCTCAGCACCCACCACCGGTGTGGGCGCGGGCGCCCCTCACTCAGAAGCACCAAGGAGGGAGAGGGCGAAGGGTCGGGTTGCTCTTTGGAAAAGCTGGGCACAGCGGCTGGGTCCTGGGACACCAAGCTCCATGGAGACGGAGCCGAGGAGGCGCACTGGCCCAGGAAAGTTTGGAGTCGCCCCCGGCGAGTGCCGAGTGCACCCCGGCCCGCAGCCTCGGAGTGGCCTGCCCGCCTGCGCTGGTTTATTTCCGAGGTTACACTGCGCGGCCCAGGAGGAGCAGCGAGGCCGAACGGCCACGAGAGGGGGTTCCTGCAACTCCCTCGGCCCCTCCGCCTCCCACAGGGGCGCCCTGGGCGCAGCCCGCACGCCGCCCCTGGGCCCTGTCCCCGGCAGGCGCAGAGCAGGACTGGGGATCCGGGCGCGGGCTCCGAGGGAAGGGGGCGAGCACCAGGACCGCGCTCCGCGGACACCCTCGCTCTGCGGCCGCCTGGCGCCTGGCTCCCCGGCCCCGCTCCGAGCGGCGAGGGCCTCGCCAGGGTACCCCGCGCCGCGGGGACTCGGCGGCGAGAGTGTCCCGCGGTCCACATCGCCGCCCACCCCCAGCGACGGTCCTTGCGGGCACCTAGAAAACCTAGGCGGGGTCGCACCGCGAGCCCCCAACCCCCGCAGGGGCGGCCAGACCGGGTGCCCCCAGCAGCCAGATCCCCTGCCCGCTGTCGCCAGGTCCCTGCGCCCGCAGCCCCGCTCCGGCTGTGCCCAGCAACTCCGGAGGCACGCGGCTCCCGGGCGATGGAGGGCGCGCCGAGTCCGCGAGCCGGCGAGCGGAGCTCCGGGCAGCGGCCGCGGACCCCGAGCAGCCGAGGGATGCTCCACGGTCTTCTTCGGGCAGAGCTCCCTCGGTCTCTCACCCACCGGGCCAGCCGCCCACACTCCCGCCCAGCTCAGCACCGCCGCTCGGCGCTGTTCCGGCGGCTCCCCGTTCCTGCCAACCGCAGGCGGCTTCGCGGGGCGCGGGAGCCGGCTGGATGCAGCGGTGCGCGCGGCGAGGGCCGGGGAAGCCGGGGAGAGCTTCTCCGGTCGTGTGCTGCCCCACGGGCTCCGGGGACGGCCCCGCGCTGCTCCGGCTTCGGAGCAGCCGGGGCGGGAAGCGGCAACTTACCCGAATCGCTCCGGCGAGCGACAGCAGCAGCAGCATCAGGAGAACGCCGGAGCCCGCGGTCATCTTCCCCGCCGCGCCGCGCCCCGGCGCCCGCCCTCCCGGAGCCCGCAGCCCGCTCCTCGCCGCCGCCGCGATCGCGCCGCTCCGCGGGCCCCGCACCTCCAGCCCCGCGGCGGCGCCCTCCTCCGGGCCGGTGCGTCCGCCGGCCTCCCAGCCGCGCGCGCCTCTGTTCCGCGCGCTCCGAACCGCAGGTGAAGCCGCGCGGTCGCCCCGCGGAGGCCCCGCCCGCCGCCCGGCCCCTGCGCTCGCCGGCCTGACGCGGGCCTTAAAGGCGCCGCGCCCCCCGCGCCGCGCCCGCACCCCGCCTCTCCGCCCGCACCGCGCGGCCGCGCAAGGGCAGGGCGTCTGGAGCCCGAGCCCGTGTTGGCCGAAGGGGCCTCGGACGCTCCGTTTACCAGAAAAAGTGTGTGTGTGTGTGTGTGTGTGTGTGTGTGTGAGTGTGGAGGGGCGGAAAGGTGAGGGGCACGGGGGCCGAAGACCGAAGAAGACGCGGGGGTTCTCGCCCCCACTCTCTGGGCGCCCCTTCTGGGTGGGGAGCCCCTGCTGCCTCCGTCCAACTTCCCGCCGGGCGGGGGCCGTGGCGGGAGCCGACACTCCGCCGTGATCTTTATCTTCTGGTGTCATATCCCTGACTCCAGGGTCGCAGGCCACTCTCCGGGCCGGGCGCCCGCGTTTAGCCCCAGAGGACCCGGGCTTCGTGTCAGGCCCGGGGCTGTGCAGACCCTCCAGCTCCCCCAAAGGCGCCAAGCCTGGGCTCTGGCTGGCCGCGGCCTCAAGGACCCGGGAAGGAAGCGGTTGCTGTTGGTGCACAGAAGGCCTGAGAAACCGAGGAAGAAATTAGAAGCCCCTGGAAATGAGAGGGCAGGAAGGGACTCCGGGCAGGCAGGACCGCAGGACGGCTGGCCCAGGGGCTCTTCCCCGGGTGACTTCCGAACTGGGGACCCTTCTTTAAGGGATCGCCAGGAGAAAAATAGGCGCGGCTTGGAAAGTGGGGGGATGTTTCCACACGCGTCCTTTCCGCCTGGAGATGTGCAGGAAAGTGGCTTTGTCTGCTCAGATATTTCCGGACGTCTTTGTCTTGCTTTGGGGGACACGTCTGTGTCCAGCATCCTTCTGCTCTGGTTGCACTGCCACGCGGCAAAGGAGGGAAAGCACATGGAGAGGAACCGTGGGCTCCAAGGTCACCGGAGTGAACTTGGGCAGGAGAGCAGACAAGCTGCAGATGGAACGGCCTCTGGTCCCCCCACCCCCCACCCACACAGCAGGGCAGGACTTGGTTATCTCCTCGGACTGGCCTTCCGGAAATCGGATTGGCTGTGACTCCAGAGGGGCAGGGTGAGGTCGCTGGGGCCGAGAGGACGGCATGACATTAGTTCCTCACCAGCAACCTGTGTGACTAGTCAGCAGGACACTGAGCCTGCCTCTCGTGACCCCGAATCTGCTCCGTTCTCCACGCGGCGGTGGGAAAAGATGCGCATTACCCATTATTCCTGGGGCTGAGTGCACGGCATGTCCTGTTTGGACTCAGGCAGAGGTCGCCGGTGCCCAGGGAGGTGTCGCGGGCGAATCCATCGGAAACCCCGCTGGGGGGGTCCTCCGCTCTGAGCCACGAGCTCAGCGCTCGGAAGACGTCCTCTGCTCACCGTGTCATTCGCTGCGGGCTTTGCCACCCCCCGTGGAGAGCGCTCACCCAGGCTGCCACGGGTGCCCCGAACGCCCACCGCTGGGGCCTGCCTCTCTCTGGTGCCACGAAGTCCGAGCGAGATGGAGACCGATTTTGCAGCAGCGCTGGCACCACTGGGCTCCGCCCAATGGGTCGGCGAATTTGAAAAACAAGAAGAAATCAGTGTTGGGCGGGGCCCTAGGCCCAGACACCAGATGAAACATGTCTGCCCGGCTCCTGCCACGGTGCGTCTTGGCCTCGTGGCTGCACTGACTGGCGCTGTGACCTCCAGCCTGCCCACGTACCTCCTGACGGGGTCCGGCCTCGGGTCAGTCCGCACGCAGGCGTTGGCGTCAACTCAGGGTCCAGAGACTCTGCGGGTGGGTGTGGCCGTCCTCCCCGTCACGCCCACCGGGGCGGAGAGAGGCCTGGGGCCCTGGTGTGAGGTGTTTCCCAGACGCCTTTGGTGGGTCGAGCTGCTTGACACAGCGCGACTCGGGGGAGCTGGTGCCGGCAGGAATGCCGGCCAGAAGCACTGCAGTGGCAGAGGGGAGCCCAGCCGAGAGCGTCCGTTTGTCAGCTTTGCGTGGCAGCTGAGGCAGGGGGGATGCGTCCCAGAGGAGGGGGAGTGTGGTCGCAAACACCAGGCGGTGGGTTCTGAAGGCTGCTCTGCAGCCTGGCCCCTCCGAGGGTGCCCCCCAGACCAGCA